TGGTATAAGGATCACACCGGGGCTGTAAAGGTTGAAATGCTCCCTCCAAGATCAAAGATGGCCGCCGGGCCTCCACGTGGCACCGGCGGCGTGATGTCACGACGTCCTGGGCTCCACTGACGTGTTTCGTGTGCATGCACTTCTTCTGAGGTAGAGAAGTGCATGCACACGAAACAGTGCATGCACTTCTTCTGAGGTAGAGAAGTGCATGCACACGAAACACGTCAGTGGAGCCCAGGACGTCGTGACATCACGCCGCCGGTGCCACGTGGAGGCCCGGCGGCCATCTTTGATCTTGGAGGGAGCATTTCAACCTTTACAGCCCCGGTGTGATCCTTATACCAGTTCCAGAGAGGGGGAACGTTTCATACATCTCTGGAAGGATATTTCTGGCCTGTTGGATCTCATCACCACACGAGGGCGCTTCATCCCTACATTTTCCAGATCTACTTTCTGACCAGAAAAAGAGGGGAATCTTCAGGATATCTATATATCTGCGTATTATCTATACGCTTCTGGTTAGTGCGCATTTCTATCATTTGCACTGGAAAACAACGAGCACCAAAACAGGACTGCATTTCTTGTGGGACCTTCTATTTGTAGTTTATTACTGTCATCTACGTTTGCAAATATCATACAGCGCTGCATTTTACATATCAATACTTAAGGGTAGACTACAAATGCTAAAACATATAAATGTGCGGAACAAAGACTCACTGAATCAAAAAAGTTCCGGGATTCAATAGGACTTATAGAGAAAAAGGCCTGGGGACTTAAGTTGTTAAAGCCCAAAGTAGTCCACAACTGCTCAAATAATCACTCTTTACAACAGTGGTTAGTGGTCATCCAATAACAGGAAATGTGGCTACAGTGGGCGATGGTTTATTAAAAAGTAGTACTACAAAATTAACAGATCTGACAAGTCTATTACTTCTGTTAAGTGGGAATCTATTTAAAGCATAAATCAATGGATCATCATGTCTTCAAGGGTATGTTACACCAACTTTTTAATAATCCAGGTGTCTTTTTTTTTTTTTTTGCATTCCTTCCTTTTTTGTGAAATACTTAGTGATCCTGTCCATTCCCCTTGCTTTCCCATTTCAAACGGACTATGCTAGGCATGAAAGCAGATCCACCCCAACGTGGTCACTTTTCTGGCTGTGCTGGGAGCACAGCCTGCCGTGTCCTTCAATGGTCCTGACTTGGGCTGACATGCCACCTTGCACAGCTCTTCACTAGGAAAAACAGTGCATTGCCTCCTGCTGACACACCCCCTGCAGTCTCCACCCTCAGCTCTCTAAGCCCATTATGTAGCTGAGAACAGAGGTCACGTGATTGCTTATATAAAAAGAAAAAAAAAAAAGTAATTTTTCTATATCTACACACAAATTTTAAACGGAGGTTTTTTTTTTTTTTTTTTTCTTTAAAACAAAGTAAGGGTTCACATATTTTAAGCCAATAGTTCTAGATGGGGCTGGTATGATGGTGCACAGAATGTGTTCTAGAAAAAGTTAAGCCGCTAAAATCAAATCAGCATTCCACAGCATTATTTTTGATATAATTCACCTGGAGAATAGAAAAATGTATGGATAAAGTGGCCACTGAGTGCACATTCAAATGTTTACAAAGCCTTTACAAAACTCTGCAAAGGTAACATAGCTCATATGAGCACTTAGTCTGCAATGGACGTGAACTATAAAATCCTCATAAATTTGTTTTTACATGAGTAAAGCTGTCCATGGATGTGACAATATATGACATGATATAACAAAGATTAACATTTAATAGGGGTAAAAAACTATCAAACTATTTTTTTGTCCTTTATGTTTAAAAAGATAACACCCCTGAGTATATCTGGCGCACAGAAACGGTTTGAAAATGGCCACATAGATGTTGGTTAACATCTAATCTTTATCTTTTCCTAAATTAATTGAAAATTCTTAAACTTCATAAAGTTTTCAATAAGTTTCCAAATCATTGAAATGAAATCAAAATAGATTAACCTACAGTTAATTTATTTCTATGAAAGCTAGCATCAGAACAGTTTTTAAAAGTGGTGTATTGCTTACCACAATCCTCCAGCATTCTTGGAATACAAAGAAATTGTGTTTATTATTCTGAAATGGACCTGTGCTTTTTTTTTTTTAACCTATCCCCAAAGACAGTTCTGGATATAGTAAAGAAGGCTTCGAAATGTAAGGTTCTATGCCTCCCCTTGGAGAGATTTTCCCTCACATCTACTCCCATTAACACTCTAGCAGACAAATAGTATGGGGAAGTTCCACAATATTCCGTTACACATTTTGGTGAACATGATTAGTTTAAGGCACTTCAGAGCAACTGGCTCACTGTAATGCTGGCCCCTGCAGCAGCCTATGCTCTACTTTCCTATACTTTCTTGGCACTCTGTTCAGTGATCATGAGGGAAGAAAAATATCCAGCACTTCCATGTATGGAGAAATGTGCAAAATTTGGCCTTCGGACATCATTGCCTTCCTTATGTATACCACTTTTTCAGAAATTATTTTTTACCAGCATACCATTCCTGATGTTATTTAGCCTCTCTAATAAAACACCCATTATAGATGCAAACAGCTTTCTGTTGAGGTCTTCCTCTACCACCCATACCAGCTTCCACTAGCCTAGAAAATGAAGAGTTTTCAAGATTTTGGATTTTTTGCAGCCAGAGAGTTTGTGGGTATTCCTAAACATTTTGTTAACTTACAATATAGGTGTTTGTTTTCACCTGTATTGCTAAAACACAGGTTCACTTTTAAACAGAATACATAATGTATATACAATGCAAACTTAAAGAAAATAGACAATTCAGGCTATCGAGGCCTCTGCAAACAATGTAAAAATGGTATCTTGGTAATTTTCTGTATTCTTATAGCACACAAAATGCTCATGTACAAGTATTGCTTAATCATAACAGCAAAATAGCCTACTACCCTCACATATTACATTTGATAGCACTCACGCATTTAGGAGCATTAAGTATATTTTAGGTCACTTGCTATCCTTTCTGATTATGCCACTTTAGGTCACATAAAAAGCGGAATGTTTCAAGCTTTAGTACCTGAAATGTCTGTTGCAATGCTTACATTTTACTGTGATAAAACAAAACTGTATTAACGTCTATTTATCGTTTTCAGATTTAAAACTTTTGTTAGTTGAATTTTTAAGCAAATACAACAAAATACATGCAAGGTCCCCACTTTCTAGAGGCACTGGCCTAGCACATAAGGTATATGGGTTTATTTCCTTGTGGCTGACTGTTGAGCTATACAATACAAAAAGCCAAGGCTAATCCAGTTATTAATAGAAAACATTTTTAAATATTTTTAATAATTTAAAAGCCATGTAAAGCTCAAGAGAACGGTCAGTCAAGGACATAAGCTATGTGTAAGAAAAACATTTCCGTAAATGCCATTTACAGCCCTTATATAAGCAAGTGTTTTTCTGCACATTTAAAATTAAGGCAGAATTTTTATTGGTCCTCTTAAAAGGGAGCAGAACATGGAAGGGGCTTCTGCTGTCTTGTTTGTGAAGGTACAAGTGCCAGGATTGATCCATTCATCCTTATTTCACTGCTAAATAAAAGTAACAATTTAAACAAACATGGAGACCTTTAGTGCTGGCTTACTGACTTGCAGTACTGTCAACTCTCATTTCTATCCTATCTGGTATTTTATTACAGCGGAAGAAAAAAAAAAAAAAAACTTGCCTGGAATGAGCTAGAAAACCTGTCCATTAGTGAGCTCAAGAAAGGCAGGAAATACTATACTGCAAGTTATTCAGTTTTAATACAGCAGTGCATTCAGAATATTTTTTTATACCATTTTCTTTACCTTAAACAGCTATTCAATGAAAAAATAGCAGTGCTAAAGGGGCTTTAGGAAAAAAGAAAGACAAAAAAAAAAAAAAATTAAAAAAAATCAGACGTTAGAATGTTAACATTTTGAAAGTAAATAGCTGAATTGGCAAATAGGAGTGGGGCTGTCATCAAGTCATTAAAGTATACTGCAAAAGTTTTGTACCATTTTAGAGAATGTATGATCAAAGTGTAAGTAACAGTGTTTATGAAACTTGCTTCAGTTTACAGTCTATCCTGTGCAGCTTTCTCAAGGTAATACACATTGACTAAGTGGCGTTTCAGGTGTTTTGTATATTCCTCTGTTTTCCTGAATGTACGGTCACAAAAAATGCAGACAAAACTTTCAGCACCAAGAGTTTTATCAACAGGAGGCAATTCACATGAAGGTTTTGGGCCTAAAGTTTCTTGAGCATATTGTAAACCATTTAAGCCAGAGTCATCACTTCTTTCAGAAACATTATCACTTATATCACTACCTTCATGACTATGGATTCCTTCATCTTCCTCAACATCCAAGGATGCACTTCTAATGAGGTCACAGGGATTATGCTCACTACATTTTGTATCCTGATCAATTGTTGCATTTGATGGTGACTGAGGCAAATTTAAGTCGTCTGATTTGCATTGTAGTGAAGGTTCCATTTGTGCATTGCACTCTGTTTCTTTTATAGGGTGACCCTGAAGTTCTTCAGCTACTGCTGCAGATGGATCTGCTTGAGAATTATGGTCTGAGTCTTGCACCTCTTGTAAGGATTCTGTTTCTGTGTCTTCTTTTTCAGTGTTATCGGTGGGTGTATTATCTATCTGAGCAATTTCTCCTTCACTCAAACTATTGTCTCTTTCTAGGAGCAGCTCATTAGAAGTCTTTATTTTGTCATCAGTTGAAGAAAGATTATCAGAAGAAACTGCATCATTTACAATAGCCTCTTCTTCAGTACCATTTTCTCCTTCCTGTTGTCTGTTTTCTACTGGTTCTTTAGCACCAGACTGATCAGCTACAGCTTCAGCAGCAAATGAGGCATCCAATGGTATGTCAGGTGCGCTGCCCGAGTCCTGGTTCTGCATGATATTAGCTTTTGGATCATTATCCACAGGTGTTTTCTTAGATTTGCTTTTTGCAGTATCAGTGCTTTCCAATATAGTTTTTTTTTTTATTAATGGGTTTCTGCTGGCTACCCTTATTCATAAATAACTTCTGCTTCTGGGACTTTCCAGCTCGGTTTCCTTTTTTAAGCGCTTCACGCACTCGTTGGTTATTTTGACTCAATTTGCTTTTCTTCATACTGGTATTCTGTGCATCGTTGGTCTTAAGTGGCTTCTCAGGTACCGAACCATATTTTCTTTTTGCACGTTTAGCTTTTAAGGCATTCTTATCACCGCTTGTATTCTCAACAGTCTTATGTGAAGAGATTTTGCAACTACGTTTGGTCACCTGGCCAATGGAAGCAGATTTAAGGGTTTCACATTTTTCTTTATTCAGTTTTATTTTCCCATCAGTTTTCTTTTCTACTGACTCAGATCTTACTTGTGAGTTTTCTTTTTCTTCTTGCTTATTTACACTAAGCTCTGAAACTGGCACTTCTTTTTTTGTCCGCAGTTTCACTTTGGAAACATCCATTGTGATGTCAGTACAACCAGAATGTCTAGATTTGATGTGATATTGCAAGTTACACTTCTTAGATGCAGCATAATCACAAACAGGACACAAGAACTGACGTGGATTGACATGTAACTCCACATGCTTTTTGAAATTGCTGCGGTCTGCCGTCTTGTAGTTACAGTGTGGGCATGTTAAAGGTTTTGGCCCATTATGGAGTTGCCTGGCATGCCGTGTCACTTCATGTTGATTTGACGCTACATAATTACACTGCTCACATTTAAATGGCTTCTCACCTAAACAACACAATAAAATATTAATACAACGTGGCAAGGGTTTGAAACTTTAATCACCACACTATTAAAAACAAAAACATGCAGAGTTCTGTAAAAATATAAAATCCATACCCAGCTGCTCCTGTGAAGGCATTAAAATAAAAAAAAACACATCTTGTTAAAACAATGCGTGTTTGAAGAAAGATTAGTTCACACAAAATCTTGGTAAAGTCTGCTAATATAGTTATATGAAAGTCATGATACAGAAGCATATCATTTCTAATTAGTAGATATAGGAGTACCAACCCAGAGGGTATAGGTTTGTCCCACTCTGTGCTTACATATATCCAACCCAATTTTTTAATTTTCCTCTTTGTTGTTTTTGATTTACCAGCCAAAATACTAGATGTAAAACCGCATTCTACAGGGCTATAACCATGACCTTCAGATACTGGACAGTATTTCAAATCAGGGGAACTAAGCGGCTACATCCAGCTCCAGTACAAAGTATAAGGATTCCACAACACAAGAAGTGTACCTCCTTTTTCTGTTACGCTTCATAGTGAATAGGTAGAAGTATACTTTGGCAAAAAAAAATGGCAGAGCAAATTTCTCAACATTTACTTGTTTGTACATAGCAATCAAATTTATTTCAGTTTGGTGCCATCAGATCAAAAAAGAGCTGAATTCTCACCAACTGCTTCCTGTTCATGGACTTTGCATAATAAAGTAACAATAATGTATATTCTATGAAAGGTATAGTGTGCATAGAGAAGTGCACATGACAAGAAATGAAGAGGAAAAACAGAGGATTGGCGCTCACAGACGATGCAACAAGGAGGCATAAAAAAACCATAAGAAACAATTTAATGAAAAACAGATTACAAAGCTAATAAGCAGTAGATTTTGAAAAATAAGAATATTGTTTAACCTCTTAATACCACTACCTACCAGCTCTTTAAGGAATTTCTGATGCCATGAGTTTATGATCACGTGATCCCCATGATTAGCTGTCACATGATTGAAATGCTCCCGATCGCAAGTAGCAATCTGGAGCTGTTAGGCACCGGTAACTGTGCCAGGAGACCGCATGTCTCGGGACAGGTTTGTTTACAATTTGGTAAGCAAATATGCAGCCTCTCCGCGGCAAGGCCCACATGCCAAGAGGCAGCATATTTGTGTCACTTTAATCTTTTGTATCCTAATGGATTACAGAGCAATGGTAATCCACCCACAGACATTAACACAAACACAGTATGTGTAGACATACAGATAAAAGTGTCCAGATTTACAGATCAACTTGTCACTCCAATCTCCGGTCAAACAATGCACATGTGAAATCTCAGTCATTAGCCAGTTTATATTTTACTAAAAATTTGTTTTTAGCACCAAATCCGGTACTTAGCTTAGTCAGAATAATCAAAAAGGAATAAACAGTCCAGCAATATCAAACATTTAAGGATAGTCTTCTCCTCTGTGACTTTTCTTCATATAGTAACTTGAATAGTGTTTGACCTCCAACCTGAATAAAATGCACACTAACCGGACACAATTGCTGTCTAATTGAATGAACACCGAATAGCACTTTGTTAACTGCTTCCTGACCGATCTTGGTGGATTAGATAATGTAAGGGCAGAGGAGATATCTAGAGACTGATAGACCAGGGATGTGCAATTCCGATTGCCGACGCCCGGTACATGTACATGTAGTTCCAGGCGCCGGCAGGTAGTTTTTTTTTTGGCCTGTAGCCCTGCTGCGGGCAAGCAGCGGGCTCACCTGTCAGGTGAAGCAATCGGCGGCAGCACTGCCGCCGATTGTTTTCACACAGTGCCAGCCCTCCACGTCCCCGGCGTGAGGTTTCCATGGCTCCACTTGCCCATCTGCAGGCTCGGCTCACCGTCGGCTAGAGGGGAGGGAGAAGCCCACAGTGTCAGCCTCTCCCCCCGCTATATGTCTCGGGCTCCGCTTGCCCATCTGCGGGCCTGAGACTGGTTTGGTGGGTGCCATGGGATGTGGTATAGGGGAGGGAGGAGAGCGGGCACATCTCCGCTCCCCTCCCCTTCTCCTGACCCGGAGGTGATGTGAAGTCACTTCCGGGTCCCCGTTCGACAGATTCCTGGTCATTGAGGCCGGGAAAGAATTAATGCGGTGCAACGTGCACCGCATTACATTAAGTGTAGAACAGGGAAGACATGCAGGGTCTTTTAGACCCAGGATGTCTCAAAAAAAAAAAAAAAAAAAAAAGAAGAACCTGTCACCAAAAATCATCACATAGGGGACTTTGTCGGACACTCCCCTTTTCTTACGAGAAGCCAATCGGTGCTCATTACACTGCAAGGTCTCTCTTCTCCCTGCTAGTCCCTGAGGGCAGGGCTGGAGACAGGCAGGGAGGGGAGGAGAAGAAAAACAGTGCAATGTTAAAAATATTAAACATTTAAGTCACCATAAAGCCCCTTTTGTTTTTAAAAGCCCCAGACATTACTTAAAGCAGATTTAAATACAGTTTTGGTTAAATTTCAGTTTTTTTTACCAGGACAAGTAGATTGTCATGAAGGACAAGTAGACTGGGACACCGATTTAGTCCCTGGACAAGTAGTTTTTTTAAAAAATTTGCATGCACTTGTAGACCCCAAATTTCTCAAAAAAGAAATATCTGTTAATGCCCATTGAAGTTACAGGGGATATTTGCATTCCCTGTGATAGCATTAAAAGTGATTTAAAAAAAAAAAAAAATAAACAGTGTAAAAAAAAAAAAAAAAAAAGCACCCTCACCCCCCCCCCCCCCCCCCCGCGTGCGCGAGTGTTGACCCCGTGCCAGTATGTAAACAGCGGTTGCACCATGCATGTGAGGTATCACCGCGAACGTCGGATCAAGGGCAGTAATTCTAGCACTAGACCTCCTCTGTAAATCTAAAATAGTAGCTTGTAAAGGCTTTTAAAGCGTTGTCTATGGATATTAAAAATGTATGCAATTTGTCAACATTGCACAGGACGTACGCAGTTTTAAAGCGGGTCATGTTTGGCATCTATTTACTCCGCATACCATCTTTTTATATATCCCCAAATAATTGGCCAATATGTTGTGTTTTTGTGCATTAAAAGTAAAAAAAAAAGTGTATTTTTTCAAACAATTTGCATTTGAAAATCGCTGCGCGAGTACTATGACATAAAAAATTGCAGCACCCACCATTTTATTCACTAGGGTGTCTGCTTCAAAAAAATATATAATGTTTGGAGGTTCAAAGTAATTTCCTAGCAAAAAAATACAGAATTTTCCATGTGAACAAAAGTGTCAGAAAAGGCTTGGTCTTCAGGTGGATAAGAAGAGTGAGTGATGTGTGGCATAAACTTCTAATGCTGGGCATAAAATGCCCCCACCCCCCCAAATGACCCCTTTTTTGAAAGTAGACACCCCAAGGAATTTGATAAGAAGCATGGTATTTTGCAGATCTTGTTTGCCACATGTTTTCGGAAAATGAAGAAAGAAAACAAAAACATATTTTTTCTTTTTTTTCTATATATATTTCAAAACCTTGTGAGAAAAAATGAGATCTGCAAAATACTCACCATGCTACTTTTTAAATTCCTTGGGGTGTCTATTTTCCAAAAAGGGGTCATTTGGGGAGGTTTGGTGCTACCCTGGCTCTTCAGGGCCTCTGAAATTGTGATAGGGAGTGAGGAAGTCACAGTGGTCATTGGATTTCAAGATCCTCTATGTGGCTAGGCTCCCAAAAAGTCTCACACATGTGGTATCCCCATACTCGGTAGAAGTAGCAGAATGTATTTTGGGGTGTATTCCACATAAAGTATACCCATGGCTTGTGTGAGTAATATATCATTTAAGTGACAACTTTGTGTATTAAAAATAAAAAGCATTCTTTGTTTTTTTCCAAAAACTTATGGAAAAAAAATATATCTTCCATGGACTCAACATGCCTCTCAGCAGACAGCGTAAGGTGTCTACTTTCCGAAAAGGGGTCATTTGGGGGTGTTTGTATTGTCCTGGTATTTTAGCACCTCAAGAAATGTGATAGGCAGTCAAAGTAAAAGCTGTAAATTCCATTATCTATACCATAGTTTGAAGATGCTACAACTTTCACACAAACCAATTAATATGCAGTTATTGGGATTTTTTCTTTTTTACCAAAGACATGTAGCAAAAATAAATTTTGGCATAAATGTATGACTAACTTTGAGTTTACTACATATTTTTTATAGCCGAAAGTAAAAAAAATACTGTTTTTTTTTTGTTTATAGTGCAAAAAATAAAAAGCACACAGGAGACCAAATACCACCAAAAGAAAGCTCTATTTGTGTGAAAAAAAGGACATAAATTTTGTTTGGGTACAGCATTGCATGACCGCGTAATTACCAGTTAAAATAATGCAGCGCCAAATAGCAAAAAAAAGGCCTGGTCAGGAAGGGGGAGTAAATTCTCTGGAGGGCAAGTGGTTAAACAATGAAGCTATTCTCCAAGAAAAGGTGTTCCAAATGAATCAATCTCTCATCACTCTCTTAGCCCCTTGAGACCATATTAAAATAACTGACCAAAAGGAATTCACTTACATGCTTAGCCGCCAAACTCAAATGAGAGTAGTGGTGAGACATCTGGTGTATCAAAATACAATCTCTCTCTACAGTTGTTACGCGCAAACGCGCATCATCAGTCTACATGTGTCGCCGTTTGTGGCCTTGGCTGTCAATCCCCGGGTCCTGGCCGGTGATTACTCACTGGCACCCAGAGATCAAGGAGCAATACTGACGGAGGGAGATTACTGTAAGTAAACAATACAGTTCTCTCCCGTCAGCTCCTGCACACTGCTAGGCATGGCTTTGCATAGCAGAGCCATAAAAAGCATTGCGCTTACAGTGAAACCCTTTGATCGCTCCACATGTTAATCCCTTTCTGCCCAGTGCCATTAGTAGTGTCAGTGCTTTTTTTATTAACACTGATCTCTGTATTGGTGTCACTGGGGATGTCAGTGACACCAAGTCAGTTCCCCTCAGTGTCAGAATGCCCGCCGCAGTCCCGCTGATCACGGCCATTACTAGTAAAATTGTAAAAGAAAAAAAAAAAAAAAAAAGAATCCCAGTATATATACCGCCATTTGTAAATGCTATAACTTTCATGTAAACCAATTAATTAACATGCGTTGGCATTTTTTTTTAACAAAGACATGTAGCAGAATACATTTTGGCAGAAATTTATGACTAAATTTGATTTTTGAAAATTTTTTGGACATGTTTAATAGCAAAAAGTAAAAAATATTTTTTTCTCAAATTGTTGGACTTTTTTTTTTTTTTACAGCACAAAAAAACAAAAAAAAAAAAAAAACAAAAAAAACGCACAGGCGATCAAATACCACCGAAAGAAAGCTAAATTCATGGGAAAAAAAAAAGGACGTAAATTAATTTGGGTGCAGCGTTGCATGACCACACAACTGTCAGTTAAAAGTAACACAGCGCCATAACGCAAAAAATGGCCTGGTCAGGCAGGGGGGTAAATCCTTTGGAGGGCAAGTGGTGAACAAAGCGCTATTTGCTGTTCTATTCATATAGACAGCAATTGTGTCTGGTTAGTGTGCATTTTATTCAAGGTGGAGGTTAAACACTATTCAAGTTACTATATGAAGAAAAGTCACAGAGAAAACTATCCTTAAATATTTGATATTGCTGGACTGTTTATTCCTTTTTGATTAATACACTTGTCACGGGCGTTAGTATTTTATTTGCCTTTTGTTTTGTTTAAAAGCGCTGCAAACAATTGTATTTTATATTATTTTGGTGTTTTTTCCTGTATGAACACTTTTCACTAGCAGCTAATCTCTATTACTGTTAGTCAGAATAATGACTTTTCCCTTAAGGAGCAACCATTACGGACCTCTTCAACTATTATTAGGTACCATGGAGCAATTCCTCCTCAAAATTTACAGCAGAAAGCACATTCCTTTCTTTTCACAAACACTTCATACTGTTCCCCCTCCTCCCACCAATGCTTTCCAGCCTTCTAATCTCTAAACAAAGAGCAAATGCACTGGAAAGGGAAAAGCGTGAAAACTGGACTTGAATAACTTCACAAGCTCCTTTTGTTACATTTAGGTAATTGCCCCACAACATTGGCAGCTACAGAGGTTAATGAAAGTTTGTCCTTAAGCATATTTACTCCTTATTAAGAATAAGTACATATTTGAGCATCCACAGTCCAACTTTAATAGATAGGCTAGATCAGACTGAACCATCACCATCCAAGAATCATTTCAACAGGGATAGGTGGATTTGTGGAGGGGGGGGGGGGGGGGTGACAGTGACCTTAACCTCCGGGGTTTTAAATACGGCACAACCTGGAAAAAAAAATTGCTGCTGCAGGCTGTAGAGACAAAAAGGGAAAAAAAAAACAAACACACACACACTCACAACAGGGCAGGGGAGACATTTTGATAAAATCTAAGTATCTGAAATATCTAACAGCCATTTCCCCACACTGTTGCCAATAGATGGGGAAAACCTTCATGCAAAGGAAATAACCTAAGGGCAGAGAAAATATAGTGCTCCAGGGTTATCAAGGCACAGATGGGTTATCTGCCTTGAACATATATCACCTAAAACATTTTTACTTGATTGCAGCAAAGCTCTCTATGCAGAGCCAAAGTTTTAAAATTTTTAAGGGAAGTACAAGCTACTTTAAACACGTCATGGAGAACAATAAACCTTTATTCAAATGTATTAATATTCCCCTAAAGTTAAACTATAGGCAAACCTTTTTTCCCCCATTTTAGACAGAGCAAGAGAGGGTTATAACCGTCAGATTTTTTTTTTGCCATCTGTGTCCCATTTTGAAGATTTCCGTTCAATTCCTGTCCCATAGCCAAACAAGAAGTGAGAAGAAATCTCTGCAAATTAAGAGAATTCCTTGGGGACCGCCAGGCAACCAAAACTAGTGTCCCCATTAGAAGACTTCCCCTCTATTACTTTTCTGGGGACAACCCAAAATTTGGGATTCTCTTTCCCTACTTTCAATGACAATTGTAAACAGAACAAATAAAGATGGTGAATTTCCTTAACGGATGTACAGACAGCAATAAAACTGACAGTTTCTAATCCCTCTCCATTCTATTCAAAACTAAAAAGGGGGGTTTTGCCTTTAGTTAAACTTTTGTTTTAATTTCATTTTTGCTTTCCATCAAAGTAAACATACCAATATATGAATCACATAAATTACTAACTAACCTGAGTGAGTCCGCATATGTCGAGTCAAATGGGTTTTTTGTGAGCTGGAATATGGACACATTATACACTGATAAGGTCTTTCGCCTATTAAAAAAAAGGTTAGACAAAAGAAAAAAAATCTGGTTAAATAAATGCAAACGTTTCCATACAACTGTCATGCAATTAAACAGGAAAAACATATCCAAATTAGATATTGCTAATTAGCCGATTATGCTACTGCAAGCAATTGGGTACAACTTACATGCTGTCCTATTTTTTTTTCTGACTGTATACTCTGTAAAAGCCACAGTCACAAATACAACCTCTAAGGACTAGTAAGCTTCAATATATTAAATATTTGTTTTTAGGTTAAGATACACATCAAATTTATCTATGGTCCGATTTAAAGCCCAACTCCAGCCTATAAATATCTATGCACAAAACTTCCTAACTCAGGACATTTGTTGCTCTTTATTTAACAAGTCAGCACACTTTCAGAACCAGAAGAAAAAAAAAAAAAAAAAAAAAAAAAAAAAAAGGGAACGTGGCTGAGCATTTAGATTTTAAATCTATTGCAGGATACAAGAACTGTAAAAAGTATGTTGACAATCACAATAAGTAAGGAAGTTCAAATGCACCTCAAGCCAGCCAGTCAGAATCCATCCAGCCTTTCTAAAAGACCAAATTATGCTGTGGTGAAATATTTTTTTTTTTTTTTTTTTTTTAGTCATTGCACCACTACTGCAAGATATGTGCTGGGTTAAAATATTCTGCTCTGAGCTGTTTATGATGCAGAGATAAAGTGATTATCTATTACAGCCTATGGAGAGTATACCTGATATACAATGAACAAGATGTGTCTCAACCATATGAAAAATAAGCGCCTACTGATAGTGTATCTGTCCTCTGATAGCTTTCAACTATTTCCCATTAAAAAGTGTTTTCCATACAGTCTGTTTATTCATGTTGAACGAATCACCAATTTAGAAGAATTATTTGAGTTATCAAGGAGCCATTCTAAAAAGGAAGCACTAGAAGAAGCTGATGATCGTGACGTAATAAACCAAAACACACTGCATGTATTCCTGTTGTACACACCTTTCTGTAATGGTTCCAGGAAAGTCTATTTTGCATAACCGCTTGGATGTTTTTATCTGGTGATATTCAACTGTGCTGGACCTTCCAGGATACTCGATTATTGGCCTACAAATGTTCTAAAATCTGCATAAACCAACTAATGCATGTTGACTTATTTTCAAACATTATTATTTACTCCCCCCCTTGCTTCTTTGCATGTTGCAAGGCAATTTGATAATTAAAAGTTGACTTCTGTTATCTTCAGCTAAAAAAAATTTCAAATGTATTGTTTCTATAACGTCATGGTAAATAAAGCAGGCCATAGATTATTAGAAAACCGCTCAAATCCCTCCCGCAGCACTATGGTGTGCTGTTGGCAGGGGGTGTGCGGGGAGACTCTCTTGCTGGCAGAATACAATGATTACTGCTAGTGGATATGGCCATTGGCAGTAATTGCAGGTATAAAAATTGAAAAGGCTGGTTGTACCCAAGTCGATCAATGAAAAAAACAACAAAATAAAAAAACCTGTCATGTGTCCCAGAAGACGCCAGGCCATTCACAAAGAGCAGCGCTTGTCGCGCATGCGCAGTGGGCACCTGTCTCTCACAGCCGGGTGCCCACACTAAAGATGCTGGTGCAGGAAGACTGTACAGAGCTGGACCGAGGAACAGGTAAGGTCCTGCTGCAGAGAAGAGCTGAGCGGCTGGCCCGGTATTCTGACACGGTGGAAATACCGCACCGGCAGCTCCATATGACGCACTGACATTTTTTTGGGTGGAAAAAAGTGTGTCTTATGGAGCAAAAAATACGGTAACACTTATGGGTAAAGCTGATCCAGGGAATATTTTCCCTGATGGAGAAAATTGGATCACGTTTTGCTGGGGGATTTTGCCTCTCTCTGGATCAACCATGGGTATAGGATTGTGTATATACGATTGTAAAAAAAAAAAATGTTTTTCCTTTTTATTGGTTGAACTAGATGGACTTGTGTCTTTTTTCAACCAGACTAGCTATGTAACTACATGTAAATTTCTGGCCTCCTTACCCAAAGCCATGGGCTTTTTGACTGCCCCATGACTTTTTTAAACAAGAAGGCATGTACACAAGGGCTGACTATTACACGTTTTCCTTCAATTACAGACTACAGCTTCAAGCTGACTCCAATTCCCTACTTCCCTTCCCTGCACAAATGGCAACAGCATCACTATAGGAAAAGAGAAATCTACAGTTGAGTTTCAAAAACACCCTGCTCCCAGATCTGTAAAAGCTCAAGCTTCCTTCTATACAAAGTAAGTTTTCTGAATATTCCTGCCTTATTAGCTTAGTTTGTTTTTTTGTTTTCCATGTTATACATTATGGAATTCTGTACCTGTACTAAAAATAAAAGAGGGTTTCCCTTGCATCTGGTCTTATTTACAAAATATCAGAATACCTTTATAATTTTGCTTACTAGTCCTAGTACAGCACTCAATTACAGTTACTCTTGGTATGCATCTTAGCAGCAAGGAAGAAACATGGGGAAAAAAAAAGGTAAAATTGCTAAAATGTGTTCTCCACTGCCCAACATCCTTCGATTGAAAAACTGAAGGAGGAAGGTGGAAAATTGTTGGCCAAACAGTACCTGCATCCAATAAAATGCAACCAATTTCCAGGTATTTTACATCAATCTGTTGGTGGAATGTTCATTAACCACTTGCCCTCCTGAGGATTTACCCCCCTTCCTGACCAGGCAATTTTTTGGCTTTTTCAGTTACGGCGTTGCGTTACTTTAACTGACAATTGCGTTGTCATGCAATGCTGCTCCCAAATGAAATATACGTCCTGTTTTTCCCCACAAATTGAGTGTTCTTTTGGTGGTATTTGATCGCCTGTGCGTTTTTATTTTTTGTGCTATAAAAAAAAAAAAAGAAAATCGACAATTTTTGAGGAAAAAAAACAATATTTTTGACTTTTTGCTATTAATCATGTCCAGTAAAAAAAATTTAAAAAAGAAAATTTTGTCATAAATAAAAAAAAATCCCAATACGTGTAAATGAATTGGTTTATGTGAAAGTTATAGTGTTTACAAATGGCGGAATATATATACTGGGATTTTATTTTTACTAGTAATGGCGGCGATCAGCGAATTATAGCAGGACTGTGGCGGGCATTCTGACACTTGGGAGGGTAGAACTGACTTAGTGTCACTGACATCCCCAGTGACACCAATACAGTAATTAGTGCAAGAAAAAAAAAAAAAGCACTGACACTTTACTAATAGCATTAGGCAGGACGGGGTTAACATGTGGGGCGATCAAAGGGTTAACTGTGTGCTGTTTTACTCTGTGCTGTGTCTGTATGCTTCACTGTAAGCACACTGCTTTGGATGGCTGTGCTGTGCACAGCCATCCAAAGCAGCATGCACGAGCTGACAGGGAGGAGAACTGTATTGTTTACATTTCTCCTCCCCGTCGGAGATGCTCGTGAATCACTAGGGCGCTGGCAAGTAATCACTGGCCGGGACCCGGTGATTGACAGACGAGGCTGCGAATGGCAGCGTGGGTAGGGCGCAGCCCTACCCAGAAATGTAAAATCACGTATATATACACGTGATTTTGCGCACCCGTGCCGCCCTGTAGCAGTACATCTGCTATAGGGCGGTCGAGAAGTGGTTTAAAGTGGTTTTGGTAAACAAACGTACATGTGGTAAACACAGCTGTGAGTGTGCCTCAGAAAAATGCTCCCTTAGCTTTTCTCAGCCCTGCTGGTCTGTGAGCGTAGCTTAGGACCAGAGAATAGTAGGCGGAGATATGATGTCACAGAATCCCTCAGCTATATACACCCTCCAGACTCAGCTCAAGAACGTGCACAGCTATCTGACATCTCTATGCCTGAGAGCATGTCTCTTGAGTGCACTAAGGGGAATACACAGGTGCCAGTGACTATGTCAGCTCTGCTTACAGCACAGGATCTGTGCTAATCAGGAGAAAGTTGGTAGGAAGGGGTTAATGTTAAAAACCCCAGGAATCCTGCAGCCTAAAGTGGCAATGTGGACCAGGAAACATTTTCTTGTAAAACTCTGTAAACAGCAAGTCATAAGCTAGGTGCTGTGAAAAGAGCAAGACATTAATCAGCTGTCAGCAGACTTACCTAAATAACTACAGCATTACTGAAGTAATGCCGATCTATGTCATAAATCACTGGTGCAGAGTTCTCGATCTTGTGAAGGCAGAGACCAGCAGGGAGAGGATACCTGCTTTCCCACCCCTTTGCAGTGTATTACATGGAGGCTCATGCTGGTCTAGTCTTCAGCACAGCCTGTCACTCACAGGAAGAGGGAAGTGGTGACACCATTTTACTGCTTGTGTCAGATTTACTCTGTTCAGAAGAGAGCGGGGGGGTTCTGGAGAAGGGGATTGCTTCAAGATACCAAACTAAGCTCAAATGCTTAGTATCTAAAATCTATTTAACTGTAAGATTAGATTGATTTGTATTTTTTAGATTTACAACCACTCTAAGGTGGATGATTATCAATAAATTCCCCAGGGAGTCAACTCCCCAACTCATTTCCAGTTCTGGAAACAGAAAGTAATGGGAAAGTTTCAGAGGCCATAGTTCTATGATGACATCAATGGGAGGATCAAAAACATATCGTGAAACAGTCATACGGGACTTGTTAGAATACCAGCTCTACAAGGGACTTTGCAGGCTTTGGATCAGAATGAGTGATTTTAACAGGAGCCAAAGCAAACAGGTGGAGGAGGCACAGAAGTGGGTTCTGTTGCCAAGTGCACCAGAGTGTGCCTAGAACCCCGTGATCAGAATGTTGCACTAAAAGTGCACAGATTGATTAAAAAAACAAACACAAAAAAAAAATTAAATAGAATTTTGGATATATAGCAGGTCTTGGCCTCACACTGCTGAACTGTATACACTCTGAAGGGCACAACCCTATGGTAATAGGGGTCCTAGGATCTATATTGCCAATGTTATTCCCTTCTAGGAGAACTAAACAATCGCCCCTATCAACAAAAAAAAGAGCATTGGC